AAAAAAAAAAAAAAAAAAAAGTATATTTTAAAATGAGATTTTCTAAATGTACAAAAGTGGATCAATTACTCTAGACAAATACTGAGACAGGCCCCGAACTTTGATGACATTCTCAGCGTACCTCATGAAACTCCACCCTGAAGTGACCTGGCTCTAGCCACAGCTCTGAGTGACCCTGGACAGGGGGTTTCTGGGAGCCTCGCCTCCTCATCTAGAGAATGGGGATGGCCCTGCCTACTCTAAGGATGGTATTCAGGATTTGACACCCAATAAAAAGCAACCAAATCTAAGTCCAATATTAAGAGTACAACTGTACCACAAAACACTCTCTTTTTCTGAAAGTCAAAAACGTGTTTTACTAGAGACACAAAGCAGACTTTCTGGAAGTCTGGGGGACTGCAGGCAGAGATACTGTTCAAGGCTTTGGGTCTCTGACTCTGCTTTCTCCCCTCACTGGAGATGTGGCCTTGATGATGCTGAGCTAGTTCAAGCACCAACTGTCTGTAAACAGTTCCTTAAATGAAACTCTAAGCGGGCTGTATAGATTCTTCCACAGTGAAGACACAAAAGGGCAATAGTTGGGCAGGATCTGAGCCTCTTCAGGTCCAACAGTGTCACCAGTAGCTGTATACCTCACTAGGGGCCAGAATCCAAGAAGACCCTTGCTAAGACAGCCACACCTGCCCCCTGCTCCAGCCCCCATGCTTCAGTAAGATTGGGGTCCAAGCTAGCAGAATCTAGCTTGGCTGTGTGTGCACCTGTTCGGGGCTGGTAGGAGGCATGTTTCTTTAGTCCAATCTGTAGTTCACCTGGAAAACTAATGAGGGTGGTTTCTAACCATCAGAGAACAGTTGCCATCGAAAAGCATTCTTTTTTCAATTCAAAAGCCTCTTGGCGGTTTAAGTGCCAAATGATTATCAAAGTGAGCATGCCACATCCTCATGTGTGGCACATACAGCCACAAAGGAATGGGCCTCAAACACACCACTGTTTCTTCCTGTGGACACACAATGCTTCCTTGTTCCTGTCCATTTCCTGTATCTGGAACACTCTGCAACCTGCGTCTATGGAGTCCCCTCTACTCACTGCTGTCACAGCTCAGCCTCAGTCAAGCCCGTCCAGACTAGCACAATACCCGCCGGCCTAGCCTCCCCATCTCCAGGCTCCTCTGGGTACTCCATGAACCATTCATTTACGAGTCTGTATGTGTAAAAGACTATGCTAAGAACTAATGGGGGGAAAATGACTGGAATCCAGGTAAATATAAAGGGAAAGGTGTGTACCAAAATCACCAGAATCCAAGGAAGAAGCATGACAATTAAAGGAGATAAGCGTTACAGGAGTCCGGAGGAGGGAAGGATTGCTTCCAGCTTGGGCCAGGCTGATGGGACAGGGAGAAGACCAAGAACAACCCCTCAGCGGATACAGCCCTCAAGGGGCCTTGGGGTATGTGGGTGGGGTTTCATCAGTAGCCAGGCTCTCTACCTCTGATTGCGTGCTCGGATCCCACCCAGCAATTTCCAGGCTCCCTTCTCCTTGCCACCGTGCCCAACATTCCAGATGGAAAGGGACCCCAGCCTAAGTCCTTGGGGCAGGCTGACGTGGAGCAGAGCCTTCCTGCCAGTGCACGATGGACGGGTAACCTGAGAAAGAAGTAAGCTTTCCCGTGTAAGCCACTAAGAGTTTAGAATTGGTTCCCACACGGCAGCCTAGCCCATCCTGACTGGGCGGAAGCATGTGGGCAGGAGGGTGCGTGGGATAAGGACCCTTGTGGGTGACAGAGCAATGCAGGCAAAGCTGGGAACGAGGCACAGAGGGTGTGCTCGGTCTGGCTGGAGTACCAGGTAGCCGGAGAAGGTAGAGAACAGTGGGGAATAAGACAGGAAGAGTAGCATAAAGAAACATCACAGAGAACGTTGAACACTAGACAAAGGAACGATCCTCAGGGAGATGGGATAAGATGAGCCTGGCTGCTGAGTGTCAGGTGAACCAGGGAGAGTGGGGATTGAAGACTGAAGATATCAGCAGCTATGATGCAAGAACTAATGAGACGTTTAAAAAAAAAAAAAAAAAACTGGATTAGGAGCAGAGGGACAGGGTGAAGGGGACATGGAAGAGATGTTACACGGAGTTTATCAGAGGCGATAGGGTTTGCAACTGTCGGGGTATTGAAGGCAAAAAGAGAAAAGAAAAATTACATGCAGTTTGGAATCCAAGTAACCAGGAGGGGGACTTCGTCGTAAAGAAGTAAGGAACTTGGGCAAAGGGACTTGTGGACTAGAGTGATGGGCTCAAATGCAGGATGTCAGTCTTCAGCAAGCTGTAATGGTGGATAATATTCACTGAGTGCTTCCCGCTCAGCCGGGTAGCCCGCTGAGGGCTCACATGCAGTAGCTCCCTTCACTGCCCCAACAGCTGTCAGACAGATGAAATGTGGGGCTGGAGCATAGCAGTGATGACGGGGTGGGAAACAGAGAGTCATCCTCGCTGAAACCCGATCCACGGATGAAACGAGGCCGCTGCGGAAGCCCTGGGCAGACTTTGGGAGCAGTGAACACCGATGGTACAGGAGGGGGAAGAACCCAGCGCAGGGAAGAGAGGTCTGTCAAGAGGCTAGACTGCTGGAATCGGATGGAAAGGAGAATGTGCGGGGCTCTGGGGACCTGTGAGAGGGCAGCTTGAACGGAGTAGCAAAGGTAGGAGAAGTAAAGGGGTAACCAGGAGGCAGAAGGAGCACACACGTGTTACTCTCAGAAGTGGGGTGAAAAATGAAAGAAAAAAATAATTCAAACTGCAGTTTGGAGAGAGAAGAGAGGAAAAATAGTAGGATGCTTGCAGATGGAGGAAAAGGGATGAACAGCAAGGAAACACTAACAGTGCAGAGAGAAGAGCCTTTTCCCGGAAGTGGGTGGGAGCTGGGGTCACAGAACCAAAGGAGGGCAGCGTGCAAGGAGAGGACCGTGAAGAAGGTGAAAACATCCCGAGGGGGACACTCTGGGAACCCAGAGCCCAGTCCATCCCCTCCCACCCACCCGTCGCACTGCACAGAAAGTCTCATCTTACACACAAGGCCCAGCACCAGCAATGCGTCACCACCCACCTTCTGCTCCCTTCACATACCATGTTCTACCAGTTCCCTGTGGGACTGAGTCCAGCCACCCTCTTCCTTGTTTATGCCAATGCATTCACTATCCACCCCCCGCTTCACAAAACCAGGAGCAGCAATCCCAACAGGAACCCGCCTCTCTCTACATATGGAAATCTACCCATCTTTCGAGGTCCAAAAAGCCTTTCTCGGTCTCTCCAACATGATGAGCAATTGCTCGCTCTCTCTCATCACAACAATCATGTTCTCTTTGTATTTAAGTTATTTGTGTACTTGTCTTATCCTCCACTATTAGATTCCAAGCTTCTTGAGATGTGGAATTACTTCTCTGCATAAATCTCCTCGGCCTTTATAGTAGAGCCCTGTAGGCAGAGTCTGTAAAATGAATGCTGGAGATTTAGCTTCGGAGGTGCTGTTTAAATACAGCTCCCTATACCCATCATGTGAAAGATGAACGTAAATAGATAAAAATAAAATGTTTAATACTTTACAGTGGGAAGGTCTCAGGCAGGGAAAAACAAAATGAGCTTGGGACATCCCAGGCTGGAAAGCAAGGAAGCACTCAAAGGCTACTGGGGTATGTTAACAGGACACAGGAACCACCTTGAAGGAGTGCCCGTGGGCCAAATTTGAGCATCAAAATTTGATGTTGAATATTTTCCACCCATTTCCAAAAAACTGACTTTATAATGGCAGCTTCTTCTATGAATCCAGGTTGGCTATAATCATGACAACAACTTTGGATGTAACTTCAGCCAAAAACTATCCTGGCTTCAAGATCTCCAAGTCCTCATTAATTTATTCATAATAATTTTGTAAGGCATTTCAGAAATAGTGTACTTTACCTTGGGAAGAAGTGTATGGTTCTGTATAATGTCCATTATAATGCAGCTGGGGTGGGGCAGGCATCACATAGGGCTGGGGTTTAGGCTAAGAAATGGAAAATTGGAAACAGCATTAAAACACATTGCCTATGTAATATGTGTAAAGTAATTTTCTGCTGGTTTCTTTCTCTCCATTAAAAACTTCTAAAGCAGCCAAACATATTATGTATGAAAAATAAATATGAAGACCCTATAGCTCTTACCATATCTATCATTTTCAGTGTTTCATTTCAGTGTTTCATTTTCAGTGCCAGAATGGCAATGCTAAGCCCTATGTGCTGATATCAGACATCAGACAGCACAAGAAAACAAGCTGTATCCAAAAAGTTAAGAGCAAGAAGGAATAGACAAAAATTTCCTGAATTCTTATATAAACAATTGAACATAAGAAGATTATATGTAGTATATTTAATATTATTAGGCAAAATCATCTAGTATTTTAAATATCTGATTACTCTTGGCTAATAGTCAAAAAATTTTTTTAACATCTTTATTGGAGTATAATTGCTTTACAATGGTGTGTTAGTTTCTGCTTTATAACAAAGTGAATCAGTTATACATATACATATGTTCCCATATCTCTTCCCTCTTGCATCTCCCTCCCTCCCACCCTCCCTATCCCACCCCTCCAGGTGGTCACAAAGCACCGAGCTGATCTCCCTGTGCCATGCAGCTGCTTCGCACCAGCTATCTATTTTACGTTTGGTAGTGTATATATGTCCATGACACTCTCACTTTGTCACAGCTTACCCTTCCCCCTCCCCAGATCCTCAAGTCCATTCTCTAGTAGGTCTGTGTCTTTATTCACGTCTTACGCTTAGGTTCTTCATGACCTTTTTTTTTTTCCTTAGATTTCCATATATATGTGTTAGCATACGGTATTTGTTTTCCTCTTTCTGACTTACTTCACTCTGTATGGCAGACTCTAGGTCCATCCACTTCACTACAAGTAACTCAATTTTGTTTCTTTTTATGGCTGAGTAATATTCCATTGTATATATGTGCCACATCTTCTTTATCCATTCATCCGACGACGGGCACTTAGGTTGTTTCCATCTCCGGGCTATTGTAAATAGAGCTGCAATGAACATTTTGGTACATGACTCTTTCTGAATTCTGGTTTCCTCAGGGTATATACCTAGTAGTGGGATTGCTGGGTCATATGGTAGTTCTATTTGTAGTTTTTTAAGGAACCTCCATACTGTTCTCCATAGTGGCTGAACCAATTCACATTCCCACCAGCAGTGCAAGAGTGTTCCCTTTTCTCCACACCCTCTCCAGCATTTATTGTTTCTAGATTTTTTGATGATGGCCATTCTGACTGGTGTGAGATGATATCTCATTGTAGTTTTGATTTGCATTTCTCTAATGATTAATGATGTTGAGCATTCTTTCATGTGTTTGTTGGCAGTCTGTATATCTTCTTTGGAGAAATGTCTATTTAGGTCTTCTGCCCATTTTTGGATTGGGTTGTTTGTTTTTTTGTTATTGAGCTGCATGAGCTGCTTATAAATTTTGGAGATTAATCCTTTGTCAGTTGCTTCATTTGCAAATATTTTCTCCCATTCTGAGGGTTGTCTTTTGGTCTTGTTTATGGTTTCCTTTGCTGTGCAAAAGCTTTGAAGTTTCATTAGGTCCCATTTGTTTATTTTTGTTTTTATTTCCATTTCTCTAGGAGGTGGGTCAAAAAGGATCTTGCTGTGATTTATGTCATAGAGTGTTCTGCCTATGTTTTCCTCTAAGAGTTTGATAGTTTCTGGCCTTACATTTAGGTCTTTAATCCATTTTGAGCTTATTTTTGTGTATGGTGTTAGGGAGTGATCTAATCTCATACTTTTACATGTAGCTGTCCAGTTTTCCCAGCACCACTTATTGAAGAGGCTGTCTTTTCTCCTGTATATTCTTGCCTCCTTTATCAAAGATAAGGTGACCATATGTGTGTGGGTTTATCTCTGGGCTTTCTATCCTATTCCATTGATCTATATTTCTGTTTTTGTGCCAGTACCATACTGTCTTGATTACTATAGCTTTGTAGTACAGTCTGAAGTCAGGGAGCCTGTCCTCCAGCTCCATTTTTCGTTCTCAAGATTGCTTTGGCTATTCACGGTCTTTTGTGTTTCCATACAAATTGTGAAATTTTTTGTTCTAGTTCTGTGAAAAATGCCAGTGGTAGTTCGATAGGGATTGCATTGAATCTGTAGATTGCTTTGGGTAGTAGAGTCATTTTCACAAAATTTTTAATATGAGGTTGGACCTAATATTTAAATATGTATACTATAATAAATATTATATATAATATAAATATTAGGCTTAAGCTATGGAAAATCACCATTTCTTTGGTCAAATATCAGCACACTTTTGTGGTTCAAACTAAAAATTAACAGTGCTAAAAGCATATTTTATTAAGGAAGATGACATCACTGAAAGAAAAAGACCAATTGTATTTTTCCTTCTTTCTTACCAGAGACATCCTCGAAGAAGACCTCCTCCTAATTGGGTTCACTATGACGGTCTGAGTTTGCCTGTAAAATAAGACATGTCTTTGAGAAGAGCATATATATATATATATATATATGTACACACACAGACTCATATACACATAACTTTCCTAATTCTACCAAAATAAGTTAATAAGAAGGTAAAACGATAAATCTTCTAAAGCAAAAGACAAACTAATTCAATCATAAATTAGAGAAAAGAATGGAGATTTTCTGTCCTTACCTGGGGCGCCGGCCCTTTCCTGATGCCCAGATCCCTCTGACCACACTCCAGGGTTTGAGCCTCATGGGGCATCAGTCACCTGGACTACCAGAGGGATGGGCAGCAGTAACTTTCCCTGGTCCATTTGGGTGGAACCTCTGGAGTGATCAGAAGCAGAGGGGAAAACAGGCCATGCCAGAGGACCACAAACTCATCCCAAGGGAAGCAAGATTCAGTGCAAATGCATCTCTCCTGTAGGCCTAGCTCAGCACTGACCACCTCCATGAAGAGATACGGTTATAACTTTGGAAACTTAAGAATCTATGTTTCCTCTAAGGAACTAAGATAGGGAAAGCAAAACAGTAGGAAAATTGGTTTGGTGGGCCTGTGATAAATCCATTCAATTTTCTTAGAAAGAAACTTCTCTCTGGTTTTAAGTGTACTTTTTAAAAAGGAATGAGAATATTTAGGAGTGCCGACTATTATTTATCAGATAATCTGAGATTTTAAGATATTCACAGCAAGCTCCATCTTTGAATAAACGTAGCTCACAAACAAGAAACAGAAAAGTCCTTTGGTAATTCAATCTTTTTAAAACAGAGGTAGACATTTTTTTATTGTTCTTATGTGTGGTCAGTTATATTGCAAATAAGATCTAGGAACCTAAACACATAGGATTCTTGGCTTTGTTGATGATGTAATTTTGTCAAAGCACTTTTTGAAAAAACTCTGACCATCTGTTCCTAGCTCATGAACATGTGACACATAATTACTAATTACAAAAATATTTTGTGGGCTTCCCTGGTGGTGCAGTGGTTGAGAGTCCGCCTGCCGATGCAGGGGACATGGGTTCGTGCCCCGGTCCGGGAAGATCCCACATGCTGCAGAACGGCTGGGCCCGTGAGCCATGGCCACTGAGCCTGCACGTCCGGAGCCTGTGCTCCGCAACGGGAGAGGCCACAACAGTGAGAGGACCGTGTAGCGCAAAAAAAAAATTTTGTGACCCTTGGTTATAGTGTTCTAAGGACTAATTACTAGAAAATCCACAAAGTAAACACTAGCTCTATTTAATCAGTAAATTTACTATAATATCAAGCCTCATGTCTCATAAATTAACATTATTCTTAGCACTCTTAACAACTGATTTCCTATATTCAAACCCTAAATATTAGCTAACTTTTACAAGATTTTTGAGATTAAAAAAATTTTATTGATTATTAGGAGCTTATCAAGTAGCTACAGTTGCTTTTAAGAGTTGACTTTTTTTGATTAAATGCTTTCTTTAATAATATCCTTTTATTATCGCTGGAAGGTATTAAGATTGTTGATGAAGAATAGATGTCTCAAAAAAAAAAAGAATAGATGTCTCTTTCCCAAAGGATGTTCCCCATTCTGCCAGTAATTATTACTTAACAATAATAAAATGGATGTTAATTCCATTAGACTGCAAAAATACCTGCATCAATTGGTAAAGCATTATATATTAGTAAAGGAGGAGGCCTCCTTAGTGGAACAAGTCAGGAGGGTGTGTCTGGGCCTTTTTTTTTTTTTTTTTTAAGCACTCCTTCATTGAACATTAATATATTCTTAAAATTCGTGTCCAGAATTTGAAGACACTGCATTTTGTAGCCTTGAAATTTTCTCTCCCTTTATTCTCCATTGTTTAGGCCAACTGGGTCCTTTGAAGTTTATATTTAGTCCAGAGACTCAGTAAACTGACCAAACTTTTAAAGTACTATAAATTCAAAATTCAGAGATGGGGAGAAAGGTTGCTGATAGAAACCTCCAACACCACGTCCAGGACTGCCCAGCGGAAACAAGAATAAACTTAAGCGTGTTAAACCCAAAATCCAAGGGTGCACAGCTTAGCAGCACAGGTGGCAACTCCCACACTCGGGATCTATTTTGGCACCTTGCTGGCGGCACCCAGGATGGAGGCGGCACCCAGGATGGAGGCGACACTGCCCCCTGGAGAGGCCACTTCTGCTGAACACAAACTAGTACGTCTTCCGCCTGCCAAACTGTGACGCAGGCAGCCACACCATCAGTTCTAATATTCTAACCTCCTCTTTCTTCCTGCCAATATTCTTATAAGGGCAGTTTGCTCTGAGATCAGCTATCCTAAACTTAGTACACAAGAGAAAATGGTGTAACTGTTGGTTGTGTTTTGGGGCAGTTACTATGCTGATGGGTGCTGCTAAAACTGAGGCAGCTGAAGAACTTAGGAAAAAAAAAAAAGAAAACCACTGGAATGCGTGTACTGGAGATGACAAAATAAGAAAAGGCTGCTAGCCCAAGTAAAACAAATGATATTACTTACAGAAAACAGTGCTGAAGGCTATACCTGATTACCTCATGGGATCCTAACAACCACCCCATAAACGAGGCCAGTTATTATCCTGATTTTACAGATGAGGAAACTGATCCTTAGATTAAGTAAATTGCTCCTGGCCATGTGGCAAATAAGCAGAACTGGCACTTGAACCAGGCAGGTCTGTCAGACTCCTGAGCACATGCCCCTAACAGCTGACTATCTGTCTCACTCCCTCCCAACGTCAACAGATTCGTAGGCTCCATGGAGGCAAACAACACACCATGGTACCACTGGTGCCTGGCACACAAGGAAGGTGCCAAATGTTTGCTGAATAAATGAATGAAATAGTGAGTGAGGACTGAAGTTGATTGATGCTCATGGCTTTACAGTTGAGCTGTAAAGGCTGTAAATTGCTAAGAGTCTTCCGACTTTCGCTTTGTGAGCTTCCTTTCTTATATATTTCTAGCTAGTGCAGAGGAGTGCACTTTGGATGAACAAAAAATATGTTGGATGGTGGAAATACCTAGGAAATGTTGATCTTAATGACCTTCCTTTAACGGGATAGGGGTTACTCTCTTCTGCCAAGCCTCTCACAGTCTCTTCAAACCCTGCAGTAGGCCTCAAAGAAGTGGGGCAACCCCATCCCCTTCCAGGCAGGGCCTACTCCAGTCAATCTCCTGATCACAAAAGTCTCCAGAACAGAGACCAGCTGCCATATTCACCCATATTTAGTTTACAACTAAATTGCAGGGAATGCAGACCAACCCTCTGACAAGGCTCAGCAAGCAGCCCACTGGTGACAGAAATCCAACTTCCCCCTCTAGAGAAAGTCTGTGGAAACTTCTACCACTTGGCTTTGCAGGTTGGGGGATACCAACCTCTCCTTCCCCCACTCCCCCCAGAGAGGAGAGAGAAAAGCCTCCCATACCAAGACCCCTCTCAAGAGTCCTCTTCCCTTCCAGGCTCTTTTCATATAAATTCAGGAAGTCGATTATAGCATGACCAGTTCTGGGGCTTCGGGTGGGGAAGAGGGCGAGAGAAGTCATTTCACCTAAGAGATTGACATTACCTCATTTAATTCCTATTCCAACCCTAAAGAAATGTTAAGTAAAAGCCCCATTATCCCCATTTTATAAATTAAAAAGCAAAGAGATTGTTGTTATCTAACATTTTTAAGGCTTGGGTGACATAAAAAAGATGATTCTGTTACCTAATGTACTTTGAAAGTGGAGAGAGAGAGCAAGACTGAAGATGGATCACGCCATTCTATAAATTCTAAAATAGAGTCATCTAGGTCAAGGTTAGAGGACTCAGATGAGGCCACCCCAAACACCATTAGACAATGTATCGGGACTGAGGAGTGGGGAAGGGGACACTTAGGAGCAGAGGCCTCCTTTCTATGCAAGCAGAGTCCATCTCCTGAGCCACTGGTCACCCCAGCCTGAACCTGATGTCCAGAATTCACTGCCCAGTTCCAGGCCTGCTGTGGTTTCGTTAAATGCCCATCTGGACCATGAGAACGAGTCTATCAATACTTCAGAATCATTATCACTTTAAATGTGACTAAGCACAGTCTGTATTGAGAGCCTTAAAAGAAATGACAATAAAAATTAAAGTTATTGGACTTCCCTGGTGGTGCAGTGGTTAAGAATCTGCCTGCCAATGCAGGGGACACGGGTTCGAGCACTGGTCCGGGAAGATCCCACATGCCGCGGAGCAACTAAGCTCGTGAGCCACAACTGCTGAGCCCGCGTGCCATAACTACTGAAGCCTGCATGCCTAGAGCCCGTGCTCTGCAACAAGAGAAGCCACCACAATAAGAAGCCATGCACCACAACGAAGAGTAGCCCCCACTCTCCGCAACTAGAGAAAGCCTGTGCGCAGCAATGAAGACCCAACGCAGCCCAAAAAAAAAAAAAAAAAAAAGGCGGCTTCAGCAGTATTCCAGATGAGAACTATGGCAGCCAGCACTAAGTCATCAGCTAAAAGAGTTGTATCAATGGTCAGATTTAGATATGTTTTGAAGGCAGAATTTGCAGAGCGTACTGACGAATTGGATGTGGGATGAAAGAGCAACGGAATTAAGTAGGACTTCTAGGTTTGGGGCCTGAGTGACTATGGTGTGCCACCATCTGTCGAAATGGGGGACAGTAGGAAGAAGCAGACTCTGGGGCAGGAAGAGGAGCACAGCAAGAGTTTGGTTTTAGGCATATCAAATTGGAGAAGCCTGTTAGGCACCCAAGTAGAGATGTCAAGGGTGTGCAAGTCAAGTGCTCAGGGGGAAGACAGGACTAGAAATGAAGTCGGCTGTACTTTAGTACATAGATGCTGCTTTGAAGCCTGAGTCAAGCCAAATCCCCTAGAGAACAAGTGTAGATGAGAAGAGGTCCGAGGATTAAACCAGCAAAGCCGACTGAGAAGAAATAGGCTTAGAAAGAGAAAAAGCAGGAGAGGGTGTGGTCCTGGCAGCCAAGGAAGAGCAGGGTGCAGGGGGGAAGGGATGAGCAGAGGTTCGGTGCTGCCCAGGAGTCAAGTGAAAGAACTCCTGAAGTGACCACTGGGTGAAAGTCACTGTCACTCTGACAAGCAGCATCAGTGGCGTGGCAGCTTAGGGGAAATGGGGTGGAAGGAAGGCGAGAGAGCAAGATTATACAACTTTTTTGAAGAAATCAGCTGTAGAAGAGAAAAAAGATACGGCACCGTGGCTAGAGGGCATGTGGAACGAAGGAAAATTTTTAAGAGGTAAAATATTACAGCATGTTTGTATCCTGATGGGAATGATCCAGCAGAAAGGGGGAAACCCATGTGGGCTAAGGAAAACGTACATTTAGGAAGAAGGGGTATAAATTCTTCAAAAGGCTTGAAAAGCCTTTTTCACTCAAAATGTTGATTAAAAAAAAAATTCCATTTTAGCTTTCGTGAATTAGAATAATTCTAGTTACTAGCTGAAAGAAATCTTAGAGGCATATCTGTAGTTATTAGAGGTTGGTCCAAAGCTAAAACTGAGAAATAAAATTTTGACATCCAAAAGTAAAGAGATTATTATAAAAATGTTATCTTTTCCTTTTTAAATTTGCCTTTCTAGACGATATACTATAGTTCGAGATGAAAACTTCTAAGCTTATCACCTCCCACAGTTTCTGTGAGCAGGGTATACTTACAGGCTGCACTGATTCAATCTGTAAAACTTGTGTCGCGCAACACAGAGTCTCCACACGTATTTTGCTGTTTCCATGTCTTCCTAGCAAACAAAATATGCACAAAGTAAACAAAAGCACATCTACAACTTGATACAGAGCTTATCTGAGAACAAGACAGAACTGGGTAACATTATTTCAAAGTCACTTTCCACACATTGGGATTCTCTCATTTTCTAAAATTGCACCCCTCATATGAATGTTGTAATTAGGACTCAGATTATGAAGAAAAACAAAAAGCTGCTCAACAGTGTGATTCTTATATTAAACAGTTTCAAAATGACCTAGAAATTTTAAAATTATGAAAATGTCCACTTTTACTACTGACAACTAGATAGCCAAAGACATTTTTAAACAAAATGACTCAGTGACTTATTGCTTTTGTCAAGAGAGTAAAAGTAACTGTGAAATGGTATTTCTAAAGAGCTGTTCACTTATCAGTGGAAGTTAAGATACCAGTGTTTACTCTCTCCCATACTTAATAGTCCCTTAAATTTAATTTAGAGATCATAATCAGATAGTATTTATCCAAAAACTCATTCATTCATTCAACAGTATTTACTGAGCAACTAATTTTTGCTAAGTACTGCTATACAAAACGTTATAAAGTATTATAAAATTTTATGTTTTATAAAACTCTGAAATACTATATAATTTTAATCCTACTGCCCCCCAAACACATACACACAGAAGTGTTAATTTTCAGGAAAAACATTACATACGGATTCCTAATGTTTACTCACAGTCTGAAACTGGATGGTCTCCTCTTTATTTGACAGCTCTAATGCAAAAAAGGACTTATTGTGGGACATGTTAGCAATATCATGCCACCTAAAGAACAACAAACAGCAAATGGCAATGTGAGTGCTCAGGTTTTTTACTAAGAGATAGAATATATGAGTTTTTCCTTTTTGAGCTTAATATATAAGCTACTATCTGTTTATCCTTTTAGAAAGAAAACAGTGGTTTTAATCAGCTCACGTGCATTTTCTAATTGAAGTGACAACAAGAAGTAAAAGCATGTATACTAAAATGAAGGCAGAGTATTTAAAAATGTAAAATCTATTTATCCTCATTTGCTGCCCTAATCTGATCAAATATCCCACTCTCAGCTGGTTGCCAATGCCTCCTTCACTCATTCAACAAACATTTTAAAGGATACCCACTATGATAACACCAGAAATTTTGTTAGGCCCTAGGATACTAAGATCAGTAAGGGACAGTGCTTCCCTCAGAGGGGCACAGGTGGAGGGTAGGGCTGATAGAGAACACAGAAGCAGACAAATACTGTTAAGTTCTGCAGGTGTACAGGGCAAAATAAGGCACAAAGCTAGAGGAGAGCTGCTCTGAAAAGCTGGTGGAGCAGGGTGAAGATAAAGTTCCAATCCAGAGAGTGAACTACTCTGGGTATGTTCACCAGGATTCAAACTCCGATTTGGAACTTTCTAACTCTACTTTACCACGTTCAGATTTTGTATATTAATATTCCATTTTATTACATAACTGTATAATTTTATCAAAGGGAAAAACAGGTCTGGAAGAACAAAATCTATCCCTCTTTATCCTTCTCCATTATATTAGATTTATTTAATGAAATAAAATTCATTTGTCATAATTTGGTGCTTAACTGTTAAACCTAAAGATTAGTAGCATCATATTATCCAGTGAGATAAAGGAAGCCGGTGGGATGTCTCCCAATGTCAGGGCCCTGCCCTTCCGGTGCAGGCCAGATCCATTTCCACCCCCTACCCTGCAGCTCAGCATGTCTGGAAGACAATGAGCAGCTTGGGGACATGAGAGCAATTGCCAAACGGGAGCCACCTGACCCAGTGCAGTACAGCCTAGGAGTGGGGATCTACTCCCCAAGCTGGGTACACGCTCTGTGGTCGTAATCACCATGGAGGATTCAGGGCCCAAAAGAGAGTAAAGCAAAGGAAATGAAGGGTCAAAGAATACTGAAAAGGAAATTTAAATCACCTGAAATCTCATTGTTCAGAGCCAGCCACTGTTAGCACATTGCTATATATCCTTTCTGTCCTTCTTACTAGATACATTCCAAGATTTCCACAAATGGATAGTATCACTTTTTTATAATCAAGAAAAGAAAAATCAACATTATAAGAAGTAATTGAAATTTTTTTAGATGTTGGTATTTTAGGAATTTTGGTACAAACTAGAATCAGAGAAAGGCCTACAGTTTCCACAAGAAATAGCCCTGGAAACCAGAGCTCAAATGAAAAATTCACACCAAGACAAAGAATGACCTTCATATGGTAAGAAAAGGGTCACACATTTTTAAGCATTTCATAAGCAGGCCATCGTTACAAGCACTATTTTCTACAATTTGGTTTGAAGAAAGTATCTTATAAAAAGAACCATTGCAGTCAGGTGCTATTTTATTCTAGGAAGGGCATATTTCCATTTTCTAGTGAGGCCTTGGGAGAGATTTACTTGTGAGTGATATAACTAGCACAGGTACTAAAAACTATCACCAACAGGAGCCACAGAAAGTGCACACAAAGATGTAAGAAAAATACCTAAATATCACAGGAGGCCTTCCATTCTTATGTTTCACAAAGATACCTTCGAGACACGCTCCGATGGATATGTCGCTGCCTTGGCTATCCTAAGAGGAGAAAGCGGAAAAGGAAACTCGGGCAGCAGATGCATCAGAACCACAGTGACCACACCTACTTCCCTACTCTTGTGTCCCAGAGAGGAAATGTTCAGAAGACCTACGCTGAAGGCAAAAAGTCTGCAAGGTATACATGTACCATCTTGTAAATGCATATGAAAACAGAGTTGGGCTCCTTAAGGAACTCTATTTCAAGAGCACTTCCAAGAACAAAGCACAAAACAGGGATGTGTTTTACTACAAAATTTTTGGTCACAAGGACCTCAGCTTTTACGTTTCTTTGGCCTTTGCACAGCAGGGCATCCCTGGGCTTCCCCGCTCTTCTGGCAGAATTACTAAGATGCCTTTGGCAAGCCCAGTCATCATGCCACGCTTACCTTGGCAGGGTAGCTCTCTTCTCCATAGCCGTCCATTCTCTCTATCTCCTGCATGTATAGCATTTCAGCATCAGGAGCTGTCAGCCCTCTGCAACCCAAAAGAAGTTAGATTGTTTATAAAACTAAAAAAATTTTTTACGAAAAGCTTTTCTAAAAAAACTACATATCAATTTGTCATAAAACAGCAGAAACATTTCAAGTTTCTAAGCATCTGTGATTAGTTATATCAATGCATCAGTATTTACTGAAAACCAACTGCATGCAAAAGCACTGTGCTGAATGCTGAGGGTTAGTTATGTAAGATCCTACCCCTTGTACTTTAGGCAGGTAAGGGGAAAGGCAGGAAATAAAACCACCACCTAAAAAAATCTTCAGTGAAAGCTAGAATTCTTTCTAAACCACCAAAGTATCAGGCAATACTAAGCACTGTGTGCTAAATTGCAAACGGTAAGTGCTGCAAGTAAGGGTTAGAAGATGGAAATCCTTTTTAGCTCCGGTGACAGAATTATAAGAATGGGTGTGTAGGTAGGAAGGCACTCAACTGCACGGACATGTGCCTCTCCAGCCTCATCTGCTGCTGCTCTCCCACACCCACAAGGCACCCCACACTGCAACCATCCCAAACGCAGCATTTCTTTGAATATACCACATTCCCTCATGCCTCCGGGCCTTTGTACATACTAATCCCGCTTCCTGGTATACCTATCACCCACTTGTGTACCTGGTCAATCCCTAATACCCTTCAAGACTCAGCCTACATGTCACTCCTTCTTTGTCACCTTCTGTGACTGCCCTGAGTCTAAGTCAGATGCCCTTGCTCTGTGTAGAACCACCACATTCTGTGCACACCTCTCCCCCATACCCATTATCAGTATTACTATTACTATTACAATGGGCTGTCCTGCCTATCCCTTAAGATGCCAAAGCAGGGAATACATTCTTTGATGGCAGATCACTGTTCTATTTATCTTTGTGCCACAGCATTGAGCACTCTGCCTCATACAGAATAACAGCACTAAACTATCTTTTAAGGAGATGCACAAATGAATGAGTGAAAATAACAAAAGATAGAGTGATGTGTGCCTGAGGGGTTAATTATGCTGAAAAAAAAAAGGTTCATTTGGACAGCAGAAGGTAAAGCTGGAATGGCAGGATTTAACCAACTTGTGGGAAGCCTTTAATCCCAGGGGTAATGAACTTAGGCTGGGGGAAAGCAAGAAGAGATTCATGAACATCTGAGAAGAGGGGAGATAAGTCAAAAGTGATATTTTAGGAAGATTAATCTTTTGTGAGTGACTGTATGGATTTGAGTGGGGACAGATTAAAGGCAAAAGGTTATTTTTAATGGGAGGGAGTGAATAATAAGTTATAATTAGACAGACCTGGGTTCAAATCCCACCTCTACCACATGTAACTTTGGGCAAGTTATTTAGCCTTTGTGAGCTTGATTTTCCCAATCTGTAAGGAGATAGTAACATTTACCTTAAAGAATGGTTATAAGAATTTAATGATATATAAAGTACTTGGAACTGCGTGGTATTTGGTTTAGAATAAAAGCTAGCATTCTCTAGGACAGGGTTTTTGGACAACACATACAGATTCACTCTCAAAGAAAGTCACTATCTGCCCAGAAGCAGGGGTCAGGGCAATAAGCACCACAGCTCTCAGCAGAGCTCCCCCCAGAGGACAGAAACACAGCTTCCAAAGGTGTAAGGGGCAGGGGGGCTAGGGGGGCAGACACAAAAGAAAACATCACATCTGCCACATCACAAAAGAAAACATGTCTCCCTAATCTTGCATTAACCTACACAGGACCGAGTCACCACCAAAACCTTTAAGACATGGGATGAAGAACTGTCATCCTTCAGTGACTGCAGCTTTCCACTTTCTCAGTTTCATCAATGATAAAAAATGAATAATAAATGAGTTAATACGGGTAAGTGCTCATAAGAACACCTGGCACGCTGTGAGAGCTCTGCAAAGGTTGGCTCCTGGTAACTAGCAGTAGTAGCAGCAGCAGTAGTAAAGTTCCAAATTTAATGGTGTTCAACGCATGGTTCAAATTCAAACAGGCCTTAGTTCTAACCTATTTCCACTTCTCAGCATTACCTGTATTTCTGATGCAGTAAGGCCACTTTTTGGGTTGCTTCTTCCAATACTTTTTCATCTTGTAACCACTCCTGGAAAAAACATACTGCAGTAAGTATGTAAACAAACCACCCAAATTTCTTAGAAGGAATCCGTGCTACTGACTGTTACTGACTCTTGCCACCAGCAGGCAAAACTAAGGCTAGTGTTAATGTGTGCGAGCTTTGCTTCAGGACCTAATCATGATCTTTCTAAGGAATTACGTGGCTTCTGCTCAGGAGCCAAAACACTTGCCCTGCCTTCTCAATTCATCCCAGAGAAAGTTTCAGATGAGTTATTTCAGTTTGGTAACCTCATCAGCCAGTTCCAAGCCCAGCACATAACACCTTGTGCATTCCCTGGCTGGTTGTGTAGACACTCGGAAGAGTGTACCACCTCCCGTAGTTGTTCCAACACACAGTTTCCCTGTCAGTTCCATCAGTAGTGACTTTAAAATGTAGAAGGCAGTGTCTTTTTGTCATCTCCTTTTTAATTTGCTGATGAGAAACCAAATCCATTTCAACATAACTCTGTCAGGTTTTGAGCCTTCAGTTAAAAGCAAAACCTCTATGTGGTTCCACAGAAGTTGGAAATCTGTCCCCTCTTTAGACTCACATCCAAACACAAAATGAATTTCTCTGGCTGCAGTCCAATGACCACAGACCCTTCTGTTTCTGTGGGTTTACAAGGACCAGAAGACTATAACAGGCAAAGCATTTACACTTGAGCTGTTTATAAGAGGAAATTGATTTTTTAAACTCTATTCCCGCCTAGTAAGTCTACTATATGGACTTCATTTCAGGGAATACTAAGGGTATGGAAATAAATTGTTTTTAAAAAGGCCCAATGTCAAAAGAATTCTTACCACAGGAAGCAAGGCAAATTTCTGAAGAAAGTCCTGGGATTCATACTGATCAAAGTCACCAAAATCAGCTATATAAAATGACAAATATTCACAGGTCAATTATGCTTAACTGGAAGCAAAACATGCAGAACTAAATTCAATATGCAGAGTATAAAGATGGTGTGCTTATGATTTAGAAGTCAAATTTGCCTTGTAGCTTATAAAGTGTATACTTTAAAAATACCTTTTTAAAAACATTAATTAAGTAGATTCATGTGTCTTGACTTGGAAAAAATGCCTTTTAATAAAGTGAAAAAAACCAAGTTACAAACTATATATAAACCATCTCTTTTTTTGTCACTAAAAAACAAACAAAACCTACTTTGGGGCTTCCCTGGTGGCGCAGTGGTTGAGAGTCCGCCTGCCAATGCAGGGGACATGGGTTCATGCCGCGGAGCGGCTGGGCCCATGAGCCATGGCCGCTGAGCCTGCGCGTCCGGAGCCTGTGCTCCGCAATGGGAGAGGCCACAACAGTGAGAGGCCCGCGTACCGCAAAAAAAAAAAAAAAAAAAAAAACCTACTTTGTAATCCTGTATGCTTACTTATGCACAGAAAAATGTCAGGAAGAAACCAAACCATTCATGGTAATGATTATCTCTAGGGAAAGGAATTAGATCATCTGTTACTGCAAGATGTATTTGTTTAGAAATTTTTAATTGTTCAAAAAATTGATAGTTCAGCAAAAAGCTTAGGAAAAACTGTTAAAGCCAAAGATGACACTTAGGAAGCTTCAAAGTACCTTGAAAAGGAATGTGGCTCCATGTGTATTAGGCACTTATTTGTCTAGAAATGATATATGTCTCCATGCCTGCTAATATCCGATGGAACTTTATTAGTGATTCCTCTGATTAAATTTCAATTCCCAAGACTAAATGCCAGTTATCATTTGAAATAATGCCCCATCAGAAGACTTTCCAAAGTATATTACATACATGTAAATACATATAGATTAGACATGTGAAAAATGACAGTTAATTCAAAAATACTTGTGAAATGCAGAACTATCTATTATGATTGACGATGTTCTATAACCTAGGACAACTGAGAAACCAAACAAATGACGTACGCTTAAAGTATAAGCGAATGTAACCTCATCAACCACACTGGTTGATCTTTCTTCTGAAAATATTAGCTAGCAGCAGATCAAGTTCCTGAACTAGAGGAATACACAGCATATTAAATGCTATACATGTGTGTGCATATGTGTGTATTTCCTCTCTATTTTGGGTCTGTGTGCTCTGTTGACGTAACATGCTTAACCTTTCAGAAGTCTCGTATTTCACTGAAGTAATCCAAACTCTTTTTTTTCCCCACAAGGAAGCCCCTTAGATAACAGAATATTTCACTAATATAAAAAACTACTTTATAGTAGTTATTTTCTATAAAGTCAGTTACTTTAAGAATCCCTTGCTGTTTCTGTTTAACATACATTTTAATCTGATAGATCTATTATATTATCAATTGCCATTACTTACCTTGAACAGCTAAGCCTGCTAGCTGAATTGCTTGTTCTAATGTACAAGGAATGTTTCCTTCCAAGATATCTTTCTTCAGCTGCAGATAATACTGATACCTATAAAAAAAAAGGTCAATTTTTAAAAGTCAGTATTACCTCCACTTGAGACACAATGCATTTTATCATAATTTGGTAGAGGAGCATAAACTAGCCAAAACCTTAAGCTCAGACGATTTTGAAGAACGATAGGAACATCCTTGACCATATCTATACCGACAAACACACACACACACACACACACACACACACACACACACACACACACAATATAATCAATTTATTGAGTCACTTATCCTTAATTGTAGTTATTTGAAAGCTACAAGCTACAACCATCTAGAAGACAGCTGGTCATCTGTCTTATACCCTGTAAAAGTCTAAGTTTTGTCCTTTTTCGTTGGAGACGTAGAGAATCAATGGCCAATCTTTACTTTAGAAACTCTGACTCGTAACTTGGTGATGTAAGACTTTCCTAGCCCTGGAGAGTAAAGCCAGAAGAAAATGGTTCCTGACATTTCAGACCAGCCTTATATTAAAATATTCTTTGATGAAATACCAAAAAGAATAGTTTCTAAAATGCTTTCTTAATATTCTTGTGATGTGGGTTTACTTCTGTTTATGCTTTCAATATATAGGGTATTAGTTACCAGCACAAGCTTTAGTCAAGCAGACCTAGGTTAAATTCCAGATCTCTGATTTAGCATTTTGCATGAACTTGGGCAAGTCATAATCTGTGGGTTTAAGTTATCTCTACTACTAATGAGGGCACTGTCACCCCTTCACAAGGCTGAACATATCAAGGAATATATGTAAAGCTCTCAGCATAATACTAGAACATAGCTGGTACTTAATAAACAACTGTTATTATTATCAGCAATCATCTACTTTCAGCCAGTCAGCAGTATTTCATCTGTATCACTTCTCCATTTCGATAAGCTCTATAGTGAAGATTTATTCTGCCTTCCTCTTATTTTTTCACTTAGGTAATTACTAGGGCCTACTATGCATCAAGCATTGTTCTAGATGCTGGGGATACAGTGTTGAACGAAGATCCAGCAACTCTCTGCCAATACGGTCTATAGAACCATCTTGAATCCAGAATCTCTTCCAGGTTTGATATCTGTGAAGTTCAACCCAGTTACAGTTCACATTTGAATTTCCCTGAGAGCCCACCCTTTTAATCATTTCATATGTCCTTACATCATCCGATTTTAGCTACCTTTGAAGTTTCCATTCTTTGTTACCAAAAAACTTGACCAGAACACCATCCTTTTAAACAAGGATTTAGATCCCACTTATCCCCTTCCACCTGCTAGTAGAACCCATAGACTTCCCTCAATCAGCAAATAGAATGCTGGTAGCTCTGAGATCTTGTCAAAGAAGAAATCTTGAAACATTCTCCCAGGCAGCTCCTTTCAAACACCTAAAGAAGTCTATCTATTGAATATGCTGTCCACATATTCCACTCTAAATATTCTTGGTTCTTTCCTTAAATCAAATCACTGGAAAGCAGGTCCACACTCTAGACTAATGCCTAGATTATGGCATATACATTCCTAACTGGTCTCCTGCCTATAGTCTTGTCACCTATAATCTACCTTCCATGATGGGTGATCTTTGTAAAATGCACATTTCATCATTCCCATCCATTAAAATTCAAAAATGTCTGCCCCTATTGATCTATGACTTTATGACTAGGACATTCCTTTTTTCAAGTCTCTGTTCTCCCCTCGAAGTAATGTCTGAAATTCCCTGAAAACATCAGTTGCTTTTACTATCCCCCTACTTTGCACAAGCTACTCCCTCTAACTAGAAAATTCCTTGTAAAGTCAAGTGAAAAGTCAACTTCTTTACACCCTGTTCATGTTCCCCACATCCCACCCCTAGGAATCCAGTGCTTTAATTAAAGCATGTACTATCATAACATACTGTAATTGTTCATTTACATAGACTGTCAGTTCTACCAGATTGTGAGCAACTCCTCCAGAGTAAGAGTAAAGCATATCCATTTATATATTCATCTCCCACAGTAACCAATATAATTCTCACATACCATATTATATCTTCAATAAATGTTTAAATAAATGAGTCAAAGTGGTCAGTCGCTGTTTATTCCTCCTGGCTTCTACTTCTCTCTTTAATATTTATGTCTCAGATCTGTTTTATAGCCAATTCATGCTTATCCCTACAACCTGATTCTAGCTTCTTTGGTTATCCACCTTCTTCCAAAAATTAACTCTGAACTCAGTACTTAAAAAGAATATTCCACAAACACAGGGCAGTATCAGGTTCTTACTATCTGCAAGGCATTGTGTTAGATATTATGCGAAAGGCAAAGTTAAAGAAAACATGGGTTTAAAATCTAAGGAAAAGATACGTACACAAATAACTGTAGTGAAAGGCTATGACAACTGCCATCGTAAGTACAAGCAAATTCTAGAATAGTCTGGAGGAGGCAAAACTCATTCCACCCTGAGGGACCACAGAAGCTTTATGGAGGAGGTGCCTTTTGAACTAAAATCAGATGAACAGGATTCCAGTACATATTTATGAAAGAAAGGTCTAGGACACAAAGGTGAAAAGGCATGCAGCATGTTCAGCACACTAAAAGTAGTCCAGCTTGGCTCGAAAGTAATGTTAAACAGGGTTAAAAAGATAAGGTAGTGGTGGATTTTGAAGAATGTGAAAGGCAGGCTCAAGAATCCAAATTTGGTATAAACAAAAAGGTCCTACTGTATAGCACAGAAAACTATATTCAATATCCTATGATAAACCATAACGGAAAAGAATATTAAAAAAACAATGTGTATATATATATATATATATATATATATATACATATATATATGTATATATAACTGAATCACTTTGCTGTACAGCAGTAATTAACACAACATTGTAAATCAACTGTACCTCAATTTTTAAAAAAGAATCCAAATTTGATCCCTTGTTTTTTCTTTTGTTATTGTCAAGAAAAAAAAAAGAACATTTAGTTCCTCTATCCCACTCCTTAATACATTCTACCCTTGCTGCCTTTGTCCCTTTTTTTTTTTTTTTTTTTTTTTTTTTTCGGTACGCGGGCCTCTCACTGTTGTGGTCTCTCCCATTGCGGAGCACAGGCTCCGGACGCGCAAGCTCTGCGGCCATGGCTCACGGGCCCAGCCGCTCCGCGGCATGTGGGATCTTCCGGGACCGGGGCACGAACCCGTGTCCCCTGCATCGGCAGGCGGACTCTCAACCACTGCGCCACCAGGGAAGCCCCTTTGTCCCTTTTAAGTGCACTTATTGGCCAAACTTTTCTGATCTCAAACACCTCCCCCACCTCCCGTTCGCCCCACACCTATGTACAGAATACTATGACTACTGGTGTCAGAATTAGAAGGACCCTTCTACACATTTCCTTGAGGAGTAAATGCAGATTTTGTGACAATTTTTTTAAATTTCCTCTCTCATTTCATTGTTACAAAGGTCAGAAGCAACTCAACAAAAACATTAAAGGTGACATCACTACAAGAAGAGTTCACAGCCAGGGTAAAAACATCATTTTTCCTTTGAATCATTCCTTCATGCCCAGTGAACCCATAATTCATGCAACATGCAGTAAAGCACTGTGACACACCACATACCAGCACCTTCATGTAATACTGAGGCTAAAAATGCAGGGGCGAGAGGGCAAAGTTTAGCCTTATCTCCTGACTCTAACCTTAATTTCACCTTTTTAACTTCACTGGATTTCCTAGAAACAAATAGCACATTATTTCTTACCTGGTGATCTCCTGCTGCAGCTGTGAAACTGAAGGCACATAAAACACCACTCCAAAATAGATGGTAGGTTCCAATGCATATTTATCCAGCTGCTTCTTTAGAGGTTTTTCCAAATCTACCCACCGGCGCTGGTTTTGCTTGTTGTAGTACCAGAGGCTGAAGTAAGTGATCTGGAAAGAGGGAGAATCACTGAAGGAAGCAGAAATGTACAAAAGGATTTAATTGCTCTAATCCATGACCTGGGACCAAGTGACAGTCTCCTATTGCTTCTCTTCTCAGAAAGGGACCACAGCAAAACCCAAAGGGGAAAAAAAAAGAGGCAAGGCCTATCTCTATCTAGATACTCATTCAGGAAATAGAGGCGAAAAGTCAGTTACGCTTGCAGACTATTTCTTGAACCCTGCATAGAAAAATGTCTAGACATCAGAATGCAGCAGGTGCTACAGGATTCAACAAAAAAACGTAAAATGTTTAGTTTTTAAATTATCAAAATACTACATTACCGTAATTAATATTTTATAATAAGCATAACTGGGGTTTAACCTAGTTGAATTCTGACTAGTGTTAATCCAACTTGTCACTACGCTCAAATTTGGCATCTAGGAATAAATTATTTCACGTAAATACCAAAAATTCTAGTAATAAAGATGTAATTGCAACTTTTCTTTGCCCCCCGCAAAGTTCACTAGATACAAATTTAAGCAACTGTAATGCTGTGGAGGTAAATACACATACACACACACACACACACACACACACACACACCATGAGAAAAGCTATATACCTAAAGCAGTAAAATAACTTAAGTGTCTTACTTGGAGGTTTAAGAAAAATGCCCAGATATGAGCATTCAAATCTTAGTTGCTATGTAATAAACTGTTCTAGTAAATCAATCCTAACCCTGGGCCTCGTCCACCTGAAAAAGTGCTAATGCACTTAAGGGTTGAAATGACAGCCTCAGGCCACTGCTAATATTTACCTCAAAAATCCATTTACAGATCAAGGCAATGGAAAAATCACTGCTTTGTTCTAGATTCTTAGAGTAACACTGTCAAATAGAACTTCCTACGATGATGGGACTGCTCTGTATCTGCACTCTCCAGTATAACACACATGTGGCTACTGGGGACTTGAAATGTGGCTAGTGCAGCTAAGGCACCAAATTCCCAATGTTACTTAATTTTAACTGACTTAAATAACCGCAAACATCTAGTGGCCATTATACTGGATAATATAGCTTTAGAGCAACAATAAAACAAGAACTAACACTCAGGCCATTTCTTTAACCTGTAATCCTCAAAAAGTGAGTTTTTAATTTACAGAGAAAAAGTGACCTCAATATTAAAACATGTCCTCAATATTAATAATTTCATCTTACAATTTTTTACAAAGGAAGAACCATACCTTTAAAATGAGTCTATTAATCAAAGAAACTCAACAAGAGTGAGGAATGTATCTATTTTCCCTTTATACCCAAACAGCTAGAATAGTGCAGGAATTCAGTAAATTTTGAATGAAAGAATGAATATTCTCCTGCTTCTCAGTTGCCACCCAAGTCATCACATACGAATGGAATATTTTGAACATCTACTATGTTGGACCAGGTTCTGTTCCAAGAACTAGAACAATATCATAGATTAAATCACCCCCATTACCTTATCAAATAGATACTTGTGTGTGTTAAACTCTAAAACCAGTGTTTCTCCAAGTGCTGTCCTTGGACCACCTCTACCAGAATTACCTGGAGAGCAGTGAGCCCTACAGAGCTATTAAACTCTCAAGTAATTCTCGTACCCATTAAAGTTTGAAAATCATTGCACTACAGCACAACGCACCCCTCCAGCGTTATGTAGGAGATAGTCATATGAACAACCTATCCTTGAAAAGCTGTGTGGAAATCATTATTTTTGAAAATCCAAACACACTGTAATACAGCACAAAGTCTGAGTACTACTGTTGTTATTTTCTGAAGTTATGATTATGTTTATAAAATAAATTATATGTTAGCTGTAGGAAAAGAATAGTATCACATTTTTGGAAAACAGGTACTATTCCTATTCCTTCTTTCTTCTGAACTGCAACTTACAGAAAAGAAAAATCTGGTAACAGAAAGAAGATGTTGCTAAAAGTCCAAAGTCCTGGGTTTAATTTCCAATACTTGCTCACTGTGAAGTGGAAAAGTCAATCAGTACAATTCGGTTTCCTCAAGTGTAAAATAAGGTAATACCTCCCTCATAACTCCATAATGAGACCTAAATGTGAAACACATATGAATGCATTTTGCCACTAGAAAACCACTATATTTATAAAAGATTATTTAGTTTCACCCACTCTGCTAAACACCAACAAAATCGATTAAAGACCCTGACAAAAAAAACCTTTTCTAATTATATTTATTTGGATTGATTACAACACAATACATTTCTGTTCGTTGTATTTATGTTTTGTGTTCTATTTTAGAACTAGACTGCATGTACCATGTTTGGTCTATAAAACATACCACTGCTATGCACTTAATTCAATAAATATTTATTTTTTGCCATAAACACAGAAGACTGGGCATTCTTTAGAATCTAAAACTGTTTTGGTCATAACGGTATATCACTTTTAATAAAAATTAAAAGGTCTTAAAAATACTCTTTGTAAACATTACTCTTCCCTTTAAATCTAGTTGGGCCTGAATCCTCCAAACACAAAAATTTAAATAGAATTATAAAACTATAGGTTTATTACATAATTTGTGGGTGCACCTTTTGTGAACTGATCATGATATACAAAAATATCTGAATAATCTGCTGGCATTCTAAAAATAAGCACATTCTAGAAGAAATAAACTCTTAAAAATCTGCTAAGTTTATTTATTTTAGCAATGCATTTACTATGCCACATATGGACAGAAAATCAAGAAGTACATTTGTAAAATTGCATCATAATTAGCTTTTTTATTTACAAATTATATACCTTATAAAGGAGTATCAAGAACTTTGTGCAAACAGCTGAATATAAATTTGGCAAATTATTTATTGATTAGCTATTTTAGTCGTAGGAAAGTCTAAGATTTTAGACATTTGAACATTAACCCACTTTATGTTGTAGTAAAGTATTTGCTTTGGTACCTGTCCCTGTGTTCAAGTTCTCTCTTAAGTGGTAGTTCAGGCTAGCCAAAATAAAGTTTATATCTTGTAAATACTTCCAAGGAGGTATCATATTTCTAAAATTGCTCCAAGAAATGTTTATATACATATGAGTAACTAAAATCTCATAATATTATAACCCTTGGACTCAATGCTTTCTTAGAATTTCTACACATACATACTGAAATAAAAACATCTGATTCCAGAGATTTTATAATATAATATGGTTTGTTTCTAAGATGAGTATGTAGAGTTTGAGCAATAACATGTTGTGATTAAATTTAGTCAGGCATAGAATTTTCTGTGTAAGTCCACTTTGGGGTATTTGTCTTGGATGACAACCTTGAGAAGCCGGATAATTAATTCTCTCCCCCCACAAAAAAATTTAAACTTATCCATAAAGAAAACAAAGGGGGAGGGGGAATCAAAGACAAGTAGAGAACATTTCCTTCCTCATTCTATAGGCCAGCATTATCCTGATACCAAAGCCAGACAAAAGACACCACCATAAAAGAAATCTATAAACCAATATCCCTTATAACAATAGGTGCAAAAATCCTCTACAAAATACTAGCAAACTGAATCCAACAGCATACTGAAAAGATTATACATCATGACCAAGTGGGACTCAACCCAGGAGTACAACATAAAACAATCAATCAATGTGACATATTATTGATATGAAGGGAAAAAAACAACCATCTCAATTGACACAGAAAAAGCATTTGACAAAACCCAACGCTCTTTCATGATCAAAATACTCAAACAAGGAATACAAGAGAACTTCTTGAAAGCATTTATGAAAATCCCCAGCTAACATCACACTGAATGGTAAAAGATTGAAAGCTTTTCCCCTAAGATCAGGAACAAGACAAGTATGCCCATATTTAACACCACTAGTCAACACTGTACTGGAAATTCTAGCCAAAGCAATTAGTAAGAAAACAAAATAAAAGTGTCCAAACTGGAAAGGAAGAAGTAAAACCATCTCCATGCACAGATGACATGATCCTATACATTTTTAAAAATCCCAAAAGAGCCCCTACCAAAAAAACAAACAACAACAAAACTACTAGAGCCAAAAAACTCAGCAAAGTTGCAAGGTTCAAGATCAACATGCAGAAATCAGTATGGATTCCATATACCAGCAACGGAAAATTCAAAAAGGAAATTAAGAAAACAATTCCATTTATAATAGCATCCAAGAGAATAAAATACCTAGAAATAAATTTAACCAAGGAGGTGAAAAGATGTGTATACTGAACAATACAAAACATTGCTGAAAGAAATTAAATGGAAAGATATTCTGTGTTCACGGATTGGAACACTTAATATTGTTAAGATGGCAACACTACCCAAAGTGACCTACAGATTCAAATGCAATCCATATCAAACTTCCAAGAGCCTTTTTCACAGAAATGGAAAAGCCAATCCTCAGATTCATGTGAACTGCAAGGAGACCCAAATAGGCAAAACAATATCGAAAAAGAACAAAGTTGGGAGACTCACACTTTCTAATTTTAAAACTTACTACTAAGCTACCATAATGAAAACAGTGAGATACCAGTATAAGGAGAGACGTTTAGATCAGTGACATAGAACTGAGTCTAGAAATAAATCCATGTATCTATGGTCAACTGATTTTCAACAAGAGTACCAAGACTATTCAACGGAGAAAAAAACAGTCTCTTCAACAAATGGTTCTGGGACAATTAAAGATCCGCAATCAAAAGAATGAAGCTAGACCCTGACCTCACACCATATACAAAAATTAACTCAAGCTGGATCAATGACCTAAATGTAAGGACTAAACCATAAAACTCTTGAGAAGAAAACACAGGAGTAAACTTTCATGACCCAGAATTTGGAAATAGATTCTTAGATATGATACCAAAAGTATGAGCAACAAAGGGAAAAACAGATATATTTGACTTCATCAAAATTTAAAACTGTGTGCATCAAAGAACCAAATCAAGAAAGCAAAAAACCTACAGAATGGGAGAAAATATTTCCAAATCATATATTTGATAAGGGTC